TTATTAGATTTTATATTATAACGAAATCATAAGAATTAAAAAATTATAAATATCTCAATAATTATTTATTTATACTATATTATAAAGCGTTTGACAAAAACTTTTAAAAACATTTTTTATGCATAAAGTATTGTTTATTAATGTATATTACTTAAAATTCAAGATTACAAGTAATTGTGCGTACAACTTATTAAAACTTTATGTTTGAATTCGTGTAACTAACTGCGGATAAACATAATCAAATAGATAATAAACATCTCATTTTAAAATATAAAAAATCTAAAATATAATTAGGATAATTATTGAGTTCTAACAGAATACTTAATTATTATTTTTATAAAAAAATATTATTAAACATAAATTAAGTTACTTTGTTACGTTAAATTAAAATATAATAAAAATTTTGAATTAAAAAAATAAACAAACAAAAACTTTTAATTAGATAATTTGATACTAATATTGATATATTTTTTGCAAATTTTATATAATATTTTCAAATTTATACTTTATTTAAAAATAAAAACATTATCGTTTTCTCAAAACCATTATAAAATCGTATTATATCAACATAAATAAAAAAAAATAAAACGAAACATTGAAATAGAAATATGTTTCAATGCATTATACGAGTACCCTTTTAATTTTTATAAATTTAATTTTTTTTTAATATTATAGAAATTAAAACTAATTAAATACAAAAAAAAATCTTTCACTGTCATGCAAAATGCCACGTCAGGGTGTGTAAGAAATTGCCACGTAGGTGAGTGCGGCATCGAACAACCGCCTCATGGTAGGGACCACCCACCAATTCGCGGTGAAAAGTTATGGTTAACGTAGACTAGCCGCCTCTACCCTCAGATTCCACCCTCTGCCCTCGTGTTTCATGTTCTTTTTTTTTTTAACAGTAATACTCCTATTTTTAAAACATTTATTACCATTTTCTTAAAAAAAAAAACATTAATTAATATTATTATTTTACATTAAAGGTCCCGTGTCGACTATTGAATTCAATTTTATATGTACGTGTATATGCTTAAAAAAAGTTGACACACTTTCTATTATTATAATATTTAATTTTTCATATGTTTAATGTAAGATTTTTATAAATAAAAAGCGAAGTAATTTGTAAGAAACTATTATTATGAGAGTTTTTATAGGATGCAGTTGATACATGGAACATGATAAAATAGAATGGGACAAAATTGATTTCGTCACGTTTGATGCGACATAGGACATGACAAGAACTCATTGGTCCATATTTTGCGTGACATGTGATAAGGATAAGAACTTGGACAAGGTGAGACAAAAAAAGGTTTTTTCTTGTTTCAGAAACTCAAATATTATTAATCTACTGTTGTTTGATATATAACTTTAATATGATATTTGTTTTAGTGATCACCACCGCTAATTGCAACCGCCACTACCATTAGTGGCCACTGGTAGCCATCATCCACCTCTAGCTCCTTCTCCACTATAGCAATCTCCTCCACCACCTCTATAACCATCATTGGCCACGACAACCAGTGTCCATCGTTGTCGCCAGTACCGTCATCGGCCACCTCCATATCCTCCTCCACCACAACACCTCCTCTACCACCTCCACATCCATCATAACCACCACCATAGCCGTCAATTACTACTACCAGTGCCTACCACCAGCACTAGTGGCGGACGCAGGAAAATATATTGTAGGGGGCACGAATTAGCATATTGATCAAACCAAGTCGGACAAAAAGCTCTATCCGTTTTTACACTATACTCCAACCAATTAGCATATTGATCAAACCAAGTCGGANCATATTGATCAAACCAAGTCGGACAAAAAGCTCTATCCGTTTTTACACTATACTCCAACCAATTAGCATATTGATCAAACCAAGTCGGACAAAAACGTCTTCCTTTACTCCCAACAAATTTTTTTGGAAATGCATGACCCGTAGTTGACAAGGTCCTCTAAGCAAATATTTTCTCCTTGTTTCATCCATTTGATTAGAATGCTATTCTGAAATACCTAACCTAAAGCATTTACCAATTACCACAAAATTAACCAACAAAATTAACCTAAA